ATAGTTGGAGTGAATTTCCGGGAGGAAGCAAAAGGCAAGGAAATATCCCAGGAAATGCTGTCATGTTGCTACTCCTTCACTGGGGAATCACTTTTCTATCCCTCCACTCAGCTCCTCCGCTCCAGGGTGAAGCATTAACAGTATCAGTAAGTCATGTTGGAGCACTCGCTGTTTACATCTAAACTTCCCAGGCTTTTCTAATTTAGTCTTCACTGCAAAATTGTCCACTGACTGCTTGTTACCTCAGTTCACAAATGGAGGAACCGATGCTCATGGAAGGCAAGTGAATCTCGGGCGCAGCACCACTACCCTACTCTAGCCAACTTCACTTCCCTGGCTCCTTTATTCTGTTGCCATTCTCATTTAGGTAATTGTGCTTGGCCGAGAAGTCGTAGTGCTACTTGTAGGAGCTCTGGATTTAGCGTCTCCTTTTGACTTTGCCTATTATAGTTGACACTGATCTTGTGCTTACTGTATGCCAGAGTTAGGGATGCTGCCCAAATCCCTTCAACGCATTTACCCATGTGGTAAAAAACCTGAGAGAGATTGCCTGAATTAAGTATGTTGTCATACAAAGAAGTTTTCTCAAGTCCAAAAGTTTTAAAGCATTATTTGAAGCCTCAAATTTTTATCCTCATATTTTATGAGGATCTGAACCCGGGAAGTCCAGCTCTTAAATGAACATTCAGGCTTCCTCTGACTTAACTTTAACAGCATTCAGCCCCACAGAACATCGGCTTATTCTAGAAAGCCTGTCTTTTCTTGTTTTCCAAGTCACCTCACTCACCTAGGTCTCCTACCTTTCTGGCTGGCCTGGGTCCATCTCCTTTGACGATTCTTCTTTACCTCGCTAACTCCCAGAAGGTAGTGTGTTCTGAAGTTTGGTACTTGAACCTGTTCTCCACCCAGTCACTGTATGATCTCCAGTTTCATAGTTTTAAATGTTTCTATGTGGAAAACTTGTCAATCAGTATCTCTTGCCTAGAAGCCTTCCATGAAATCTGGACTCATTTATATAACTGTCCTCTCAGGTCTTCCAGGTGGAGCGGCAATGAGCACCTCAAAATTAACATGCCCCCGAAGTGAGCCATTGTGCTTCTGTGCTTTACACCATACCTCACTTAATGGCAACACTGCCCTTCAGAGTTGCCCAGGTTAAAAAACTGTGTCATTCTTGATTCCTTGTTTCTCTCTTACAATACATTCAATTCAGTCATATCCAAGATTCAACCTCTTTTTACGACCTCAACTATTACCAGCCTAGTCCAAGCCACTTTGACCTTCTTTGACCTACGATTGTTACGATTGTTCCTAACTGGGACTTTGGCTTCTCCCTTGACAGCCCGCTCTCTGCATGTAGAGTGAGGTGAGAAAGGAATTTCTCCAGTGCAAATCTAAGAAACTTCAGTAATCAGATAAATAATATTTTAAGGAAGTATTTTAAAACAATCAACGGCAATGAAAAAACTCCATGAAAAACCAAATATCGACACAACATACAAATGTCCGTTCTTTGTTTGCCCCACTTCACTTCTTCATTGTACTCCCTGAAACCCGCCCTGCTTCAGTTTTTCTCAATAGCCAGTAATCCTGTCAAAACTTAAGAAGAAGAAAAAATGAACCTTCGGGCTTTAAATCTCAGTGCAAATGCCAGAGCTCTTATTGTGACCTACAGGGACCTACATGCTCATTCCCCATTCCCTCTCCGACCCGGACCTCCACTTCTCTTCCCCTTCACTGCCCTCCTAGTTATCCCTCAGCAGGATCCCTTGTCGGGACCCTTCCCATGGATGCTTTACCAGGGCCAGGACTTCTGTTTGGAATTCTTGGCCCCCAAGACACCCTCGCTTCTCCCAGGCCTTTTTCCAAATTCACTTTTGAAGGCCATACTATTTAAAAGTTTACTTCCAAACACAGACTTCCTATTTGTACTTCCAGTTTTACTTTTTCTTTTTAGAAATGATCACAAGGACCCTCGATAGTTCACTTATTTATAGTTTATCATTCACACTCACTATTAAATTGCATTGGGTCTTGGGAAGGAGGGGCTGTTTTGTTTTCTGTTACATCCACAGTTTATAGAACAATTCTGACCACCCAGTGGATACGAAAAAAATAGTATTTGAATTAATTAATGCTCATACACATAAGTGCTTTCCTCTAACTCCGGGATTCTTAATGCCTGTGATATGTAGGTTTTAAATCCCATTGTCTTACTGAACTAACTTGAAGCCTATGTTTTCCGAATGCAATCTTAAATCTGAAGAAATTATAAAACTTGTTTTATTTCAAATTGACCAAATTTGTAAACAATGGCTTGACTTGTTTTTAAAAAATATATATCTCAGGGATTCAAATCGATCCCTTAGAGGAGGTAAGGTTAAGAGAGGGATGAATGTTTCTGAGCAATAAAAATTTAAGATCAAGTCCCATTTCCAGCAAATTCTGAATTTTATCTTAACATCCAGATTTCTATGACTTGAGACTATATTGGAACATTAGACAGATTGTTCTCAATAACTTTGAAGTGAACTTGAAAGTGATCAAAAGGCCTTACTGATGTCAAAATGCCCTTAACGCCCTTTACTAATTATTAACCAAAATGAAAGTTAGGCTTTGCAAATAAAAATTTGCCGTTTCACCAGGAAGTGTTATCTTTTGGATGGAAAAGATGAGGTTCAGCGATGAGCCAATCTACAGCTTGGCTAAGAGACTATAGGCTTTGCCTTCAAAGAGCGGCAAGACATCTGCAACTTAGGCTGTTCAACTCCTGCCCACCTGCGTCCTCCCTCCTCCTGGCAGGCTGAATTCAGCACCCTGGGAGAGCTTGAGACCGTCCTGGTGAATCGACAATTTTATTAACCTGTAGGAGAGTGGAAGAGTTAAATTTTGTCTTAAAAGACACTTTCTATGCAAATCTGCAAAAGGCCTGTATGGTTTTCTTTGTTGTCTGCTTTATGAGAATCCTAGCTTGCTGTATGTTGCTTCCTGGAGATAAAACCAAAATCTCGCGGCAATCGAGTCCATTGCAGCTCGTCGAGACCATGTAGGACAGGGCCGAACAGCCCCTGTGGTTTCCAGCACCAAAAGTCTTTATGAATATAGAAAACCTCGTCTTTCTTCCATATCCACCTTCAGTTTAGGATTATAAACTGAAAACACAACTCATTTTAGCTCCATCTTTAAAACCCAGAGAAAGAGTGTTTATATTATAAACGTCAGCAATGCATGCTCTCACCTGGGTTGCTACGTATATATTAAATCACAAGTGTGGAGAATCAGAAAGAAATGTTCCAATCTTCCTTATATATGAAATACAAAAGATATAAAAAGAAAAATGGAATGAGGGCAGGGAGGAGACAAAAAAAACCTTTTCTCTTTGCAAAGCTCAGATACTAAAACTGTATATCCATGAACCGCAGGGCAGAAAGGCGGAAGTGGCATAAGGCTTACTCTTTCAACCTCCTGTCATTAGGCTCTAGCTACATCCTTCTCAGAGGAATAAATGAATATGAGTGGAATTGCCTAGAGTCAAAAGCAAGCAAAATGACCACAAAGTTCTAGATCAAGATTGCTCTGTCCCTATAATAGCTAATATATTCACTCTCTATGGAATTTCATAGTTTTAAATTTTATATTTTAGATTATATGAAAAATATACTTTCTAAGTGACAATTGCCCATTAATTTGGGGGAACTTTTAAGAATTCCCAGAACCTTCATTTTACTGAAATGATTTTCTACCATTCAATTTTTGTCCCATATTCCTATTATTATTACATTCCAGTAGTCTGACCATGATATGATTAACGACCTATTCATGTAGACATACTTTTACTACATAAATGAATTTTTAAATGACAGCCAGTAACAGTGCAGGAAATGTCAATGCACAGGACAAAAATAAATAAATAAAGCAAAGACCCCCGACGTCAAATATCTTAGATTTGCATTTGTTTCATTTTCCTGTGAGACATACTTCCTTTGCCTTGGTTGACAGAGGAAATCAAGCTGTGTGCACAGTCAGCGTAAAACTTCATTAGTCACTCAGACGCCCATGCAGCAGGTCAGCCTGTACCCCTTTGCCCTCTCCATGGACCGGAACCTGCACAACAGCGCTGATCCTCTCCCTGGGAAAAGCAGTCATCCCTTTGGAATGAGCTTCAAATATGTTCCCAAAGCAGAGGGCATAGACAATAAGATGCGAAAAACATCATCTCCCTTTCAAGAAACACAAGCAGCAGCAGATGTGTAAACTTCCATGACTTATCTTAGAGTTTACAAGTGGCTTCAAATGTATACCAGGGGTTCCCAGGCAAATGGAATGACTCATAATGAAATTTTCCCATGGACTTTTTAAAAGCCTTCTCTCATCATTCAGGGCAGTAGGCTCTTCCAACACCTCTTCCCGAAGATCCACTGTTCTTGCTTTGCTAAAATGGATGTCGTATTTTAATACATAAAATAATTTGCCTGATTACACCTGTGCATATAACTCCAGCAAACCTTTTTCTCGGAATTTAGCTGTGGAGCATACCTGTCTAGATGTCTTAGGTAGGATAGCTCAACCTCTGACCATGTCAGCACCCTATCCTATCTGGTTTCACTTGCCAACGGTGCTGTCTTCCCACGTCTGCAAACACGATTGTGCATTACCTTTTCATGGAAGTGAGCTAATTTTTTTTTTTTTTTCAGTATTTGGAGACTTCCTGAGATAATTGGGTTGAGTTACTGATCTGAATTCTAATTGGAGCATGGGTAGTATTCGTTTTTTAACGCAGACATTTTGACTGAATTGGAACATTTAAAAAAGAAATCTCTCTTTTTAAAAAATGAGAACAGAATATACATTTAACCAGCCTGGTTTGCGTGTGGCTGTTAGTTGTTCTCACCGTCATGATCCATTTATAGAAAATGTTTCCTGAAGATGTCCTTTTTGAAAAGGAAAAGTTTGGCCTTGGCAACAGTCATTTACTTAATTTATCTTAAATTTGGTTTCAGTGAGCAACCCTAATTAACCTGATTTTTTGCTGATAATCACTCTCAATGGAATCAAATCAAAAATCCGGGGATGGATTGAGCGGCACGCAGAAGGAAGCGGCTCTCCGCGCACTCATCCAGCGCACAGGATATAGCTTGGTCCAGGTAGGAACTTTTCCTGACACCTGCTGAGAACCGCTCCAGTGACAGTGGCGGGACTGTTTGGTGTCCCCATGGGACAAAACGTGACCCGTCCATTGCAATGCCCTCCTGGATGAGGTTTGACACGTTTCCAAGGGAAGAGGGCACTGCACGACTGTAGCTTTCCAGGCGGCCTCGCAGGCAAGGTTCCTTGCTCTCTGGCTAAGCAACTCACTCTGAGCTCTTCACTGGAAAACCAGGGCAGTGTCTGGTTTCAAATGGCAACTTTGAAAGGCCTCTTTAGTACCGGGAACACTGGCTTGAATTTACCACCCTTACCTTTATGTGCAAAGCACAGGGGGTTGTAGGAATCACTCTAGAGCAATGTCCCAGGAACTAGCTTGATGGCCCAGAGTGATTCATGCTTCGCGGTTAACCTTTTAAAGTTTCATGTAAGTCACGGGAGATATAAATATATGATTAGTTTTATTTAACACTAAATTCTTCTATTGGTCATTAGTAAAATTTTAAATGGTTTCCTCCTCAGAATTACTGTGCTTCAAACTTCATGACTGACTTCAAATTCTTATGCATACTTTTACTGCACGAAGAGGTATTTTATAATTAATAAATCTGCCAAATTTATTGTTTATAAAGCAAATATATAAAATAATATTTTCACCTCTGCTTAGGTCAAAACTAGCTGAAAATGGCCTGTAGCTTTGTCTTTTTACAATCAACGTATCCACCCATATTTAAAAAGAATGTTTCTGCTTGTTTTTCCCCCTTTAACATGCTGGTACTGTGAAGCATTCACGAAAGCAGAGTGATTGTGGAATGCCTTTCAACACCTTTAAGAAGCAATTTGTCCATATGCCCATATAAGGATATCCCCTCTCCTGGAAGATACCTCTGTTAATCCAAAGTGTAATCATAGAAATAGATGTAAACCTGTCTACTGAAACATTGTAGGAAGCTCTGGTGAAGTAGAGGGTTACATGGTGGGCTACGAAGCACAAGGTCAGCGGTTCAAACCCACCAGGCGGTCCTTAGGAGAAAGATGAGGCCTTCTGCTCCTAAAAAGATCTGCAGCTTCAAACCCCCTAGGGGCTGTTCTAGTCCATCATATACAGTTGTCCTGTGTGAATCTGAAGCAACTCAATGGGAGAGTTGAGTGTAACATCATAGTAACTCAAGATCACAGACCCAATGCATTCAATAAGGAAATCATTAAGCAAATTGTGGAGATACAATCATAACATTAAAAACTAGAATTTGTGGGGAATGATTCCAAAATAATTTAAATTCTCCATTTAAGTTTATTCTGGGCACTGAATCTTCCTTTTTCTCTGGTGAAATCCATGCCAAGGCTCTGGACGTTTCTGGTAAACTTCAGACATGGTAATGTATCTACTTTTTGCTTAATAATAAAAACTTAATTTTAGTAGAACCGAAATCTAAACCCACTGCCACGGGGTTGATTTTAACTCCTAGCAAGCCTGTAGGTCAGAGTAGCCTGTTCCCTGGCCTGGTGAGACGCTAAGTCTTCCCGGGAGCAGCAGCTAGTGGTTTGTGCTACCACCAGGCTTCTTCTCTTCCATATACGTTGCAGCTAAGTCCCTTGTCCAACGAGGCGGAGCTGAAGGGTGCCGAACCGTGTTAGACCAGTTTGCTAACTGTAATTTCTGACTCAGGGTTGAAGCAGAAAGGAGGGATAGAAACAGTGGCAGGACAGTTGATATTGACTGACACGGGCGCCGAGAGCTCTCTGGGCTGGGTATTGTTGTTGCTCTTGGGTGCTATGGAGTTGCTTCTGACCCATAGTGACTGCTATGCACAACTGGAAGGAGTATACCCGGTCCTGCCCCATGCTCACAAGTGTTCTTATGACACGTAAGCCCATTGTTGCAGCCAGTGTGCTGGGTAGGTACTTAACATTCGTGGGGGCCTTGGTAGTCGGTGTGGAGACCTCTGTGCTCTCTGGGGCTCTCTCTTAGCTGGCTGGCATTTCCCTGGCCCTCAGCCTTCTTCTACTGAGCTGTGCAAGTCCTCTTGGACAAGCTCGATGCAAGATAAACCCTGACTCCTCCATGTGACCAAACTCTAGCTCCCTGGAAATATCGTGCATTCTCTGACACAGTAAGATCTGAAGTGTAGGCGACACAGAGCAACCAGTACCTCTCCCCAACGTCAGGGCTACAGGCGAACCCACTAGTCATCTGCAGTTCTCCCAGCGACAAGTCAGAGCCCCAGTCTGTGTGGTCCTCAAGCACGGAGAATAGCTATAAAGCTCTATGATCCTTTCCTTACTAATTCTCTCTCCAGTGGCTGTGAATCACTCCCGATTCTTCCCACTTCAGGGTCATGAGGACTCACCCCATATCAACAGTGCTCCTTTAAAAAATCCTTGTATAAGTTGCAAAACTTTTCTCAAACTCTAGTTCCAGCCTTCCGGGAAAGGGAAGGGATTGTTTACTTAGGAATGCATTTAAGGACTACTTAAGTCTTCCAAGATCTGACAAAAACCGTTTCTCTGCTCGGTCTTTGATAAAACAGCGGGTAGTTCACGGACTGATTTGTTTCACACAGTGAGCCACACGCCAAATGCAGGCTAAGAGAGCCCCATCCGTCATAAAATGTTCTGACAAATGAAATTGTATTTAATAAAAAGTGCTCATTTTAAAAATGCTGCAGGACAGAAGTGGTGACACATTATTACAAGTCCATAAAGAATATGCAGATAAATATTTCTAAGAAATGGATTCAAATAGTAATAGTGCTAATGTTACAAACCTAATGCTATGACTTAAAAGCATTTAAATCGTGGGGGGGAAAAAACATTTTTTTTCAAACAGGAGATTTCTAAAATATGTATGATAAATTTGCATATTGTTTTTATTTTATACATTTGTTCAGAAAATGCTAATGAAGGTTTATATCACAAGTTAATAATATTAACAATAATGACAAAAACAGCAAGAGAGTAGTCAGATCCTTATATTTTAGCTATAATATGTCTATTAATCTAGTTAATCTGTATAATAATGTTTGGAGGTAGCTACTATGAACATCATCAACTTCCAGGGGAAGAAAATAAGACCCACAGAGATTGGGTAGTTTGCTCAAGATTTATAACAAAGGATTCTGCTTCTAGTAGTCAAGATTTCTGGCAAAAATTTTAAACTAAGAATTGTTAAACTATGATCTTTTCATGAGGTGTTGATGTGATCAGATATCAGGCATCAAAGACCCAGAACAAAAAATCCTATCGATGTGAATGAGGGGGCGTGTGGAGTGGAGATACAAAGCTCATCTGTAGACAATTGGACATCCCCTTACAGAAGGGTCACAAGGAAAAGATGAGTCAGTCAGGGTGCAGTATAGCACCAATGAAACACCCAACATTCCCCTAATTCTTTAATGCTTCCTTTCCCCACTATTATGACCCCAATTCTATCTTACAAAATGGCTAAACCAGAGTCTGTACATTGGGAGAAGAGCTCGCAACACAGGACAGGGAACCCAGCACAGATAAAGCCCTCAGGACCAATATGTGAGCAGTGATGCCAGGAGGTAAGGGGGAACCCATCATAATGATCTAAATACAACCCGCTCCCAGAGGGATGGACAACAGAAAAGTGGGTGAAGGGAGACAGCAGTCAGTGTAAGACATGAGGAAAAAATTAATAAATTATCAAGGGTTCACATGGGGTGGAAATTAGCCCTATAACGCCGAGCGTGACATTTTTGTAACATTCAATTAAATGTACATATTAATATATATAGTGATAACTATGAAAGTAAAGAATAAAAACAAAAAAGTTTTTTCCTGAAATTAAAAATTCAGACATTATAGGGTTAGTTGATACCAAGAGCTCAAGTAGAAAGAAAATGTTTTGAAAATGATGTTGGCAACATATGGACAAATGTGCTTGACACAATGGATGGATGTATGGATTGTGATGAGTCCCCAATAAAATGGTTTTAAAATAATAATAAATAAATACAATGAGAACTGGGGGAAAATATGATCTTTAAGATCACAACACTAGAGATTAATATGTCAAGGCATGCAAAAAGGTGGTGCTTTGTTGTAAACTAAACTTGGGAGCATGATTCATTTTAGTGGTAGAATAATTGTTGTCTCTTAAATTCTCCAGTAAATAGAAACCTAAAATACCGAAAATTGGTTATCTAGATCAAAACCTATCATTATTATGCAAACATATAGAGATATAATTCAATTATTTTGAATGGATTGGGAAATCCCCACTGCAAAGTGTGGAAAACCACGCAAGCCTTCCTGTGGGAAGATATCCTTTTACCTCGTCTCCAGAAGCAAACCAACACAACTCACCACCGTCCAGTCCGTGCAAACTCAGAGCGTGCAAACTCAGAGCGGCCCTGCAGGGCGGGATCCAGCTGCTCTGGGAGTTTCCGAGACTAACAGTTTACGGAATCAGAAAGGCCCATCTTTCTCCCTCGGAAAGGCTGCTGGTTTCGAACTGCTGCCCTTTGAGATCGCATCCCAACTCGTAACCATGAGGCCACCCCTAGGCCAAATCCTTGCTTGCTTGAAGCCTTCATTTCCAATAAAATTGGAGGGTCCTTCCTAACTCTGTTACTCTTGGTTTTATGATTCTAGTAGTTGCTGAATAGAAATCTAGTCATAGATCAGCAAGCTGGACTATTTGATTGAAAGAGGATACACAAGTGTGTGTCTAGACTCATCCTCAAACTTTAGCAAGGAAAATCCTTCAGCCTTCTTCTGACTCTTAATTATAGAAAGGATTCATATAATTATCAATCAAATAGAGGAAGCAACTTTAGGTTGACTTAAATTTTTTCTGAATAAAAATAAAGCAGAATGAAAGGCTGAACACAATTTATGTTAAAAAATACAGACATGACTCACTTATCTTGAATGACTTCAGGAATCCCTGTGGTAAAGCGTAGAAAAATCATTCAAAGACTTCTAGTGAGGAGGCCTATCATCTGACCTGGTCTCTACCACCTGAAACTTG